AAATTCTTTTTAGAAAAGAATATAAGGCTGCTTATATATATATATATATATATATATATATATATATATATATATATAAACTCATCCAATAAATCACATTTAAATAAAATACAGTGGTGATAAATCCTGGAACATCCACAGGAGCATAATTCGTAATTTAGTCAATGTAAGTGTTCTATATGAAAAAAAAAACAGACCCTGACTTTAAAGCCATATTGTTTTAGAGAAGATATTGTTTACTTTTTAAACCACTGCATAAATCCAGTATATATACTTAAAAACCTTTTTAAATAATCTCATAATATGAGACACAGCTTTAGAAATACCTGAGGAAAGCACAGTATGAGCTTGGAGAAAATTTCATAAGTCATCAATATACTACTTTTAAAAAACTCTATGGACTGAAAGACTTCAAATAGCTTGAAAACGGTTTTATAAACCTTGCAGATTCATGAGGCAGCATCTGCGTTTGTTTACCTGTATAAGCAGTGTGTGTGTGTGTGTGTGTGTGTGTGTGTGTGTGTGTGTCAGATTCTTTCCTTTGTGGACTTTTTGGTTCTGTTTAAATTTTCTTTTTGAGTTTTCAGTAACACTTTCACTTATATCATTCTGTGTTCTCTGGCTCATTGGTTTTATTTCCATTTTGTGTCATTCTAGTTGTTGTCTAGTTATATGGTGTTGTATTTTTTGGGTTGCTCTCTGTTGCCCCCTTGTGCCAATCTCCATCCCTTTAGCTTGTTCTAGTTACTTCTATCCAACTCTTCTTTGTACCCGACACATGGATTCGCTTAATTTCTTCTTTTCATCATTTCCTCCTGAGTTTCTTGTCAGTCGGTTCTGGATTATGGCTTCTGTGTTTTCACTCTTTCAATAAATTTTACAAGAAATCATCTCTGCCTCTCCATCCTCTCATCTGGGTCCTCAACAAGTATCCCTTAATTCTGACTTTGTGTTTGTGCACATAAACAGGAAAAAGTTAATGCAAAATGTTGCACTGTGCAAATACAGCTTATCCATCAGCTCTAATATTTTAAAATGTTTAAAAAAAATGTACAAATCAGACATCAAATGCCCACGGTTATCAAACAAGAGTCTTTTATTAAAAATCACAAATCAAAGAAAGCTTAAACAACTTAGACAACTTTTTCTGAGACATTTCTATAAACTGTACAAAGGTAATTCAGAAAATAAATATTTAATACTAGTTCAGTAATCAGAAAACAAAAAACAAAATAATAAATTATTTTTTTTTGCTTACTGGACACAAAAAAATTATGATCGGATGCTGACAGTACGGATAACTTAAAACAGTATGGGGATAGCTTTACTTTCATCCACATTGTGACAAGTTTTTTATATTTGTAGATATATATCAAAGGGTCTAGTTTTACCAAATTAAAAAATAAATCTTTGGTTGGTTAAGTTTAGGCAGTTTATCTGTTGTTGTTTTGAAAACATTATTTTTAATCTAGTAAAACAGGGAAACTGTCTCATTTGAGGAATTAGAACACAGGAAACTTGCCTCGCTAAGCGATGACAGGGACCCCTTCACTGGCAGAAAAAATAATCTTTTAATGTAACAGATGAAAGGCGAGAGAAACTGAACCAAGACTAGAAATCTACAAATGCACTGAAGATCAAATGAGTTCTCAAAATGCTTTTCTGTAATACTGAAGAAATAAAAGCCAGACTGGTTTAGTGGTCTCTTTACTCCACTTGCTCACCAATATCCTCCGCATACACCACTTGTTAGACATCATTTCTGGTTATTCTTCTTAGTGAAACTTGGACCTACAAGTTGATAAAAACATTTTTTTATTTCTTGATGACCCTGAATGCCATGTATGAAGACTGCATTAATATAAGCCAAGGCTTCACTATAAAATATGTCTAATGGGGAAACAAAAGGCTACTGATGTACCTGAAAAAAAATTGTTGACATTTTATCTCCTTCCATTTGATTAAATCCCTAATTGACAAATTTGGCAAATTTCTCAGGATATTAAAATTGGGGTTATACGGACCTTATAGGTAGTCGGTGTGTTAAAAGGACGTTTAAAAACAAGATTTAAAATCTTTTTAGCTTATTAGGCATTCATAACAAATTTCTACAATACAAACCAACACCTATCTAAGATTTTTTGTTAATCCTGGAAGCAGAGGGTTGCTGGTTCACACCTCGAAGCTCTGTCCGTCTCAGTAGTGGGTCCTTTAGCAAGACACTGCACCCTTAAAACCTACTGATGGTGGTGAGAGGGCCCAGTGTGCCCCAACGCAGCTGTGGCTATAATGTGTTATCAGTGCATGGGTGAGTGGGTGAATGACTTAATGTAGTGACCTGATGTAAAAAGGAGCTATATAAGCACAGGCCATTTACCATTGGTTATTTTAAATTGTAGTGATTTTTTATCTTAGGTGGACCACACTTAAATTAGGCTGAGATTTTTTTATAAAAACCACCGACCACTCAGAAAAAAACTCAGAAAAAGTACAATCCTGCGTGAAAAAAATTGAAATATGCCTTTAAAGAAGCATCGAACAAATCTGACCGACATTTAAAGTGTAAAGCTGACCTACCAGAAAAAATCTACATATCAAAACTAAAATGAGATCTAGAATGACAAGAGGTGCTAAAATTATTTATAGGGACGCTTTTCATTTCTTTGCATCTTTGAAGAAATAACCAGCCTTGCAAGGAGAAATGTGTTTTTTTAAATCTGAACTAAATCTGTTCTCAAACTTTTAAGAACATAATTTTTTTAAGGGGAAAAACTTAACATAAATAATTTGAAGAACATACAAGGAGTCCCAACAAGGTTCTTTTACGAGCCAAGCAAATATTTTAGTTAAGAATTGAACTTTTTCATTAATGCAGTCTTCAAATTCTGTCCTCTAAATATTATGAGTTAAAGTAACTTTAATTCCATGGCAATATTGATAATAAGAAAAAAAAATCTTGCTGTTTGAATAAGTTTTTTTTATTGCTTAACTAATATTGACTGAAAATGAGCATTCTCCCGCTCATTTCTTTATCCTGGCATCTTCTATCTACACTCTTGGCTAGTTTAACATGTTTCCATCCATAAAACATACATAAAATACAAAGCATCAGAGCAAATTAACATATTCAATGCACTACCTGAGTATTGAGAGGTACACCAGAAATACTGTAAACCTTCAAGAACACTTTCATTGTTTAAAATACTATCATAGGAAATAAATACTAAGCAGAAAGCTCCCAACTAGGGTCATGTTTGAGTAATAAAACAAGAAGTATGTGCTTTTAACAGTTATCAGAGCAAAAGACATAAACGCAAATTTGTCTTTTCCATCACCGCTGTTCTCATGTCTAAATATGTCTCAATGTATCACCTTATTCATGTGTTTTTTTAAATACAGATTAGAATAAAACAGTAGAATTCCTGCAACTTCCAGATCAGTAGACAGGTCGAGGCACTCTGAAGGCATCGTTTTAAAGAATAAGCTCTGGACTCTTCCTAAGGGCCATGGTCATGCTGTACGTCGTCTCATATGAAGCTTTACCAATTGGAGTAAACCACAGCTGTTCCATTAATAAGTCCTGCATTAAGGATCCAAAATCACCAAAAGTCTTGAAATCCAACTGGCGCTGGATCTTCACCTGTTATCAGTGGTTTCAGAACTTTCTGGTCCAGTACCATGAAACTCCTGTCCAGTTGTTACAGAGATGATTGGTTAAGAGAGAATTGCAGGAACCCATCGTCTCCCACACAGGTTGTCTACGCTGGCCGAGCGTTTCCTGGCAGCTTTCCGAATGTCTTTATATTTATCGTCACATAGTCTGGAAATGGCCTTCAGAGAGGACAAACAAAGTGGTGATTTCTACAATAAACTGTAATTCTGCTTGTCAAAGTGTTTCTGAGAGTAAGGCGGATGTACACTAACATAAAGCCATTATTTCCTGTCAGTTTGTGTAAAAAACAATAATTGATCCCACCCGATAGTGCTTAAAATTACAACAAGAGAATATAGAAATATTTGCAAATATTTGAAATGCCATATGACTAAAACAACACCTGGATGAAAAAGCTTCTCACCTCTAATTTCTGGGCCTTTTCCCTGCTGAGCGGCTCCAGTGGGAAGCTGAGGTTGTTAGATTCTGAGAGCGACCGCAGGTCAAAGTAGTACTTGGCGTAGACACTGGAAGGTACGTTGATGTTGAACTGCAGAAGTTCCAGAAACTGTCGTTCCAGTTCATTCCTAATTGAAATTAAAATATAAAACATCCGTCTTATTCCTGAATTACAAAATGTAACAAATCCCTTTAGATTTCTTACAAACGAATTAACAAAAGATCCGACCAAAATGTGTCCCTAATTGCTCTCCCCTGCCAATAAAAGCCGGGAGACAGTTCTGTTTGGTCAGCTAAGGAGTGTTTCTCCAACCGTTGTTGGAATTTGTTTAGATTTTTCTTTTTTTTGTTGGATTTTCAGGCTGGGCTAAGCTTTCTACCATTTAATAAAAATAAAAAAAACTGTTTTGCAATGACTATAAAATGGTGATTTCCTTACATTCACAAGCAGACAATATCAGTCCAAACTCTGTTGGTTTTTTGTCACCTTATTAATTGTTGTTTCGTTTATATCCAGAATTAAACTCCATCCCATGCATGCAGTCTTGGTATGCAACTTTGTCCTTGGTGCTTGAAAGCTTTCAGTATCTTATGATGATGCTATTCTTTCTCTAAAAGCTTATACTGCGACCTTTTCGCAGGAGTAAATTCTGAATGTTTTGCGCTGATAAACTCACACTGATCCCCGTATGACCTGCAGACCAAAACAGGTAGACCGAGTTGACTTACATGTCTTCCACGGTGATATCCTTTAGGATCTGGCAGTAGTCGACGTTCCAGACAGCCTGGTCATCCCAGACCTTTGAGGCCAGCAGGATGGCGCCCAAAACAATCCTTTTCCAATTTCCTGGACAGATGTCAATCTCTGCATAAGTAAGCAATCTCTCCAAGTACACCTGTAGAACCAAATCATACAGAAACGCTCGTGAAAACGAGGCAGCTGTTTTAGTTACATGCCTGAAACTGCAAGGCTTCCTTTCCCCCTTTTTTGAGCAACATTATAAAACATAATGTCTTCTAGAAACAAGCTGTGTTTGTTTGATCAAAGGGAAATTTCACCAGCGTGACGATGGCACATTCTGCAGTGAGCTGAGCAGCACTAAACAAGGTCCTGAGAAAGCGGTAGATCTGCCTCTGCTCAGGATCATGTTGGTTGTAGTCCAGTGGAACTTCAGATTTCTGCAAACAGAACAAGAAGGAAGCAAAAGATGTGGATAAATTAGTAAAGGAGGAAAATGGTGACTTTAAATGCTATAGTTTGCATGAAATTGAATTTATAATTCTCTTTGCAATATATGGAACTGCTAGTGCTGAGTAAAGGTGGGTCAATAAAAATTCACATCACACTTCTTTAAGGCCGAGGATCATTTTTCCACTTTGTGCTGGTTTATCACATAAAATCACTATGAAATGCACAAGTCTGAGGTATTCTGAGGCATTCTTAGACAATGGCAGGCATTGCTTCACAGAAATAAGATCAATATCTAACCCATTATGAGACAAGAAAGATTTGAATTCCACAACTCACTGAGAGAGGATGAAGCTTTTCATCAAATATGTCCAAGAGCAGGCCCCCATTTGTGTCTCTGCAATTTAAATTAAAAAATCTTTATTGAACAATTTTTAGTAGGAGTTTTGGACTTATTAATTATTTCTAATTAAATAGACTACAAGAAAAAAAAAAAACGGTGAAAAAAACAAATAAATCTAAAAATAAAATGCCAAATGCTGTAATTTCTGGGCAATTAATAACAAAAAAGAAACTTTTACAACTGAATCAGCATAAGGATGTAAAATGAGCTTACATTTTCTAAGCTACTGATCAAGTGGTTCCTATTAGTGTTCCTTACCTGTTTTTAATATGGTAGTAAATCGCTAAAGCAACGCTATAAAAGCAAAAGAGAAGAGAAAAATCAAGCAAAGGCAAGAAAACACAAATATTTTGCTATTAGTGCACAGCTTTCATCTTCCGACCATTTGATTGTGTATTTGAGGTTCGGCTGGCTGACTGTGTTGTCGTCCAGGAAAATGGTGGAACACGAGCTGTACTTTCGCCTCAGATTTCCGTGCTACAAAAAAAATACACACATACAGGTAAGTTTTTTTTTTTTTTTTTGCTTGAACAAAATTAAATTATTTGTTATAGTCACACACATAGAAATTCTAAATTAGATATTTCCCAGAAGTCGAAAGAACTGTGAACAAATATATTTTTAATCTGCACTCACGTTATTGATGAAGACGCTCTTTCGTTTCACTGTAGAAAGAAAACAAACACAACAAAACAAAAATGATATATTATTATCTAAGCTATATAACTCCCTGTAAGCTGCAGTAAGCAGCATGCAAAGCTAACAGTCATCAGCATTATAATACCACAGGAACCAAAAACAAAACAGACAACAGTGCCAAGTGCAAATCTCCCAGCTATTCTGCAGAAAAAAAAATCTTGCAGAAATTTTGGGGACTTGAATATAACACACAGAAAGCAGAGAAACTATACAGTCTGACCACTAGAGGGAGGTATAATCCTTCTACTCACTCCTGAAAATCACCTCTGAAAAAAAAGAACCAAAAACTGAAAGGTTTATCAACCTTAAAAACATTGATGAAAGAATTATAAATATATATAGATTTAATCAGTGTTCTTTTTTAGGGGATTGGGTAGCTGAATTTGTTTATTTTCTCTAATTATCATTTTGATCATTACTAACATTTTGATTATGTTTGTAATTTCTGTTTTAAATAACATGTAAGAAGAACAATATCAACGAAACTGGATTTTCACTCAAAATTATCTTAGTGTGAAAATCGGTGAAAATCTGCCCAGGAATATATCTCCAAAACTAAAAACATTTCCCAGCGTAAGTACTCTAATGTTAGACTCTTCAAATATTCATAATTATTATTAATAATAAAACATTTAATTTATAATGCACTTTATGTCTATTCACCTATGTAAAAGTGCTACAATAAAACAACTGTAAAAAACTAAGTACAATTTAAAAAAAGTATTAAATATAAATACATTTAGATCTAAGAAATCCTTAAGACACAAAAAAATACACCATTTTTTCAGCATTAAAGTAAAAAAATTACTTCAAATAAAAATCAATATATGACTTCTTGCACAAAGATGTCACAATGTTACAAAGTGGTACAAATTCACTGGGTAAAAAAACTAAATAAAAATGTATTTTTAATGAAAGGCTCTCATGCTGTTTTTAACCACCCTAACACATTTCAAACAAATGTTTGCACAGTCTTATCAAGTCCAGTATTACTAACTTTTGGCTTAAACATGGAGGAAATGAACAGATCTTCATGAAATGAAAAAAAAATGTAATATTTAGGCAAATCTGCGAAACATCCAAGTTAGATTTGAAACATTTATGCATAAACATCTGCTTAAAATATGTAATAGAACATAGCAAAAAAAACCCTTTAAAACTAAAGCAAGCAAAACATTAAACACAATCTCTTGTAAATTTACAAATAGCAACTTCACTGTTAATACTAGTTTCTTACAATGAGCTAAACACTATAATATCTATTCACAGACCTCATTAGCAATGCATTAGATTCTGCCAGACCGATTTTCTAAAATGCTGAAAAAATACAATTTTAAGAGACAAAGCAGCTCACCCTCATTATGAGATTTGCCCAAGAATATAGTGCTGGCTCGAGGATGGTCAGATGGGTTGTACTCCATGTTCAACTCTGCAATAAACCAACAGAAATAATCAGTCAATAACAGTTATACAGTATCAATACCTCTTATTACAAGGAGTAACTTTCATGGAAGGAAAAGATGCATAAAAATCATAAAATCCATTGAAAAATCTGTGTAGAATAAATAAATAAATTGTTTAAAATTGTAAACATATTTTAAAATTCCATAGCTAATAATGGCCGGACTATAATCAGGAATCTTGCAATAGTCAATATCTAAACGTGGGTAAGTGCTGCGATTAGGATAAAAACCAACAGGCACAAACTTAAAGGAGAGAATATTTAAGGCATGGCCTTTCAGGGGTGGCCTTTTATCTTTGCACACCTTGAGGCATTAGCAGTAAGCAGTACTTAGCATGCTGAAATGCTAAATAAATTAGCTTGTCTTAATGAAGTATTTTTGGATAATCCATCTTAAAAGCCTGCAGTATTAAAATCTTTGCCAGATATTTTGTTGGGAGCAGGGGCGGTTTTACCATTAGGCAAAACTAGGTGGTTGCCTAGGGCCCCAAGTTCCTGGGGGGCCATAAAACTCCTTATACATGTATGGTTAATACAGCTATTACTTGTGTGTGCACAATAATTATGTTTTTGATAAAAAAAATACTTTCGTTAAAATGCCATCAAAACGCTTATAATGATGATATAGAAGATAACATTTAAAATTAGTCTATACCTAAAAATAGCAGAAGTGTTTTCTTGTGTCTTGTACAGAAATTACTTAAGGTGAATCTGCTGCAACAATAATTTGAGCCCTTTTTCAGCTTTAACTCTAGCCATAAAAAAAGAGAAATAAAAAATACTGCAGTTGTTCTTGTCTAAAATTATTATTTACCAAAATTGCACAAAATCTGTTGGTAAAATTTAATTTAAAGCTTACTTTGAAAAAATTTACAGACCGTCCTCCAAAAGATCTAGTTGGGTCAGATGCTTATAATTACCTGTTTCACTTACTTAATAAAAGCTTTTTTACCAAAATGTCCATTAAGAACTAGTTCCAATGAACATACATATTACTGTACCCTCTCTTCAGTAGTATTTCTATGAAGTATTACTAAACCAGTGTAAACCTTTTGATTGCTTCTTCACTGAATAAAGAATAACAAACATTTTAACCTATAACACAAGACACAAGCAGTTATTTACTGCTATTGTTATTTTACTGCACACAACCATTATATTTATGTTACCTCTATCTGCTACGCCTTCTATGACATGTGGTTAAAGATAAACGTATACAGCAAAGGCTACTGTATATATTGCAACAGGACATAATTTACCCTGTTCAAACATGTATACTGTGCATCACCTACTTTAAGGATTGGTTTTATAGAGAAACAATTATTTAGAAGTGTTTCGTTTGTCCTTGTTTTTATTTCCAGTAGCCTTTTTCATTTATGTTAATTATTATAGTGTATTATTATAAGTAGTATTTTTACTCAGTGCTGTGTTGGTAAACAGCACACATAATAAAAAAAAAAAATAATAATGATAATTTTGCTTGCTCAGGGAAAAAAATTAAACAAGGCATGAGTTGATAATCATTAAGTCTGCATACCTACATATTGGTGTTTTTAGTTAATTTCTAATTTAAGTGAAAGTCAAGCATCTTTATTAGCCATTTATGTTCTACTAATACACCTATCACATGCTAGCTGTGAACAGGAATTATGTTTAGTTTTATGAAAATGCCATATTTGGACAGCTTGAGTGTTGGGATCTTTTTACAGCTGCTTAACCCAAGTGTTCAGTAGTGCCTGCAGATCCCAGTTGTTTATTAATTCTTTTATTATTATTTTTAATGCAGAATTAGTTTTTCATTCAAATACAGCAAGTCATCCCGATCCAAGAACAGCCCTGGACCATCACTATACTTCCAGTATGTTGAATGGAAAAACACTGCTATCTCTACAGAAGATATTTATGTTGTATGTATTTAGCAGACACCTTCATCCAAAGCATCTTACAAAGTAGACATTAGCACTAAGTGTCTTGCCTAAGGACCCACACCTGCAGCTCATTCTCTCCAGCGGGGATTCAACCCCAGGGTCTCCTGTGTGCCAGTCGGGTGACTAACCACCTGAGCGACCAGCTCCAAATGTGCAAAAGTTCTCCCTGTAGTCTAGTATTAAAACAATATTGGAGATCATCCAGATATTGTTTTGGAAAATGTGAGGCAGGCCTTTGTTTTCTATTTGGCCATCAAATGTTTGGATGGAAACCATTATTTGTCCAGTCTTTCTCTTTGCTACGTCATGAACTTAATCATAATGGATGCAATGGGCTTTATGCACAGCTCCACTACTTCCTGAATTTCAGGTAGCTCCTTTGTTTCCTGTCTTTCATTACTGGACGAACTGATTAATCCAGGTGTGTCTGGCCAGTTACTTAGGTCATACACACTTGGATTAATCAGTGCATCCAATCATGAAAGACAGGAAACAAAGGAGCCTCCTGAAGTTCAGGAAGTGGTGGAGTTGTGCATAGAGCCTATTGAAGGTTTTCATTAGTTTAGACTTAGTTGTGGGTTCATTAGGGGCCTCCTGGACGCATCATCAATGCGATTTCGGCAGTAGCTTTGGTAGGCAAAGCTACTGCTGTAGTAGACTCCTCATGGTTCCCTGTCTTCCTCATTCATGGAAAGGGACTCTCCCTCGAGTTAAGTGGAACCTCCAATCTTTTCAAATATAATATAACTCTCTCCAGGCATTTAGATGCTCACTTCATTTTAATTAACGTTATCTATACAGTGGTGGTTAGAATAAAATGTAATCTTAAGGCACAGTACAAAAAATAAACAATTCCCTCAAATCCAATTTTAAAGTCAGATTCCACAACAATTTCCAAATTGATTCTCTCATCCAACATTACAGTTCAGTTCATTGATCAAATTAGTTTAAACATTTTCTATCAAAGAAAAGCCAACAGATTGCATTGAATCTTGTACAATTAACTCTTCTTGGATGATCATGAAGCACTGACACTCATTTTGCAGCTGACTCAACAGTATCCCCTCATGCATTTAGCAAAACTGGAAACTGGGAAAGCTTCCTTTAACAGGAAGAAACCTCCACTACAAACGAAACCTGTAAACCTCTCATCGGACATCTAAAATATTCGACTCAAGGTTTGAGAACAGAAAAACACTCACAAAAATGACATACTTTCTCTTCTTGTAATTCATTTCTATAGATCACCATGATATGTTGCTTTTGGAGATTTCTACCCTACTTCATGTTGTCAGATGGGTTTAGCCTTGATGAGGTTTCTGTATGGTTTCCAAAATTGACCTTTCCAAATAAGGTAGGTATTCAGAGTAAATTTAACCGGGAGGGTGTGATACCTTTTTATAGAGCTAGGTTGGTTTGGTTTGCAATCCTTACATACACAAGAAAAGTGGCAATCAGAGAGATGCATTGATGAATCTGGCAGTTCTTTGGTGCTCAGACCCCGGCAGAAGACATGGAAGCAGCGAATAGTGGAGTAGAGGCGAATGATGACGTGACTGGATGCAGGTAATGCTTGGATGAGTCTTCCACTTTGAATTTGAAACTAAACTTCACTTGTATTTACCCATTTTATTTTCTCTATCTGTTAAACTTCTTTTTATGTACATTTCATTTTGTTTAAACAAATTGTTGCCTATCCTTTTCACTGCCTCTTCAAACCTCCAACCTGTATTTTGCTCAACAAATGGTCAACTGTTTGGTTGATCAGGCAGTAAGAGAAATTATCCCAGAACCCATTTTTTTACAGGATGGAGGCCACTCATTTCAGTGGTTGATACATGATATTCATCACCTGGAGTAAACTTCATCAAAGAATGGAGGTTCAGCGTGGCAAACTGAAACAGGAGGAGATCTAACCCATTACCTGAGAGAGCCTATCTGTCTGCCTTGCTGACTCCTGAATAATGAATGAACAACAAGTCCTCCCTTCTCTTGACCACTCAGTTCTACTTCCATTGTACTACAGTGTTTCCAATGGCCATTCCCAATCATCTTTAAAGCAGTCATAACATTTCTAAAGCATTAAAATATAATGTATGTAATTAGTTACATTTACTCTGGTACATTTTCTGAAGTAACTTTAGGAAAAAAGGAACTCTTTTAGGAGTAGTCTTACTTTACTGTACTTTTTACTTTAAAATAAGTATTCATTTTATAAAAGCATTGATACTCTTACTTGGTTATATTTTCTGGTTATTCTACCCACCACAAATAACTTTAGTTATTGAGTAATCATGTGAAAATAAAGTAAATGGCAGATATTAATGCCAAAAGTTTCCTAACATATATACATTACCTACTCTAATGATACCATTTATAAGTTTATGTAGAAAAAAATGGATGTGGAAATTTGTTTCTTTGTTGTAATGTTATATATTTGTATTGTTTTATTTTACCTTGAAATCCCAGATTTTGCACTTAACTTTCTGATTGCATAATGTAAATCATTACATCAGATGTTATTATCCAATGGTTATTCGGTACTTGATTAACCATTTACTCTTACTTGATTAAAAGATGTTAAAGTTGTGCTTATCTTACTGGAGTAAAAGTTTTGGGTATCTAAAATATATTATTACAATTTATATCTCAGATATAGATTTTTTTTTTTTTACTCAAGACAAATTACTTTTTTGGGTTTTAAAAGATTTCCTTATAAGGATACAAATATAAAGAACTAAAGATTAAATCCTCAGTTTCCTCAAAAGTACTAGACAGAATAAAGAACTGCAAGGTAACAGAATATTCCTATCTTAACTGTTCTGCTCCATGTTTTTTTTGTTTAGACAGGTATTCGACATTCATTATCAATCTCAAAATGGGCTGAATAATTATCCTTGCTTAGCAAGACTAGAGTTTATTTTCATATTAACAACATTATCACAGTCTTGGTTCTGATAAATTTTTCTTTTGAGATTTCAGTTTCAATTTGATCCATGTTTTTCCTTGTTTTGTAGTTTTATTAGTTTAATTCCTATT